CTAATCAAGGCCAGATCCGTTTTTATTAATTGCATGATACAGTTTCAACTATAGGAATTCATTAGAAGATACAAAACCCAGCATGCAATCACCTACTTGAGTATTTCAATGTAAAGCAACGTTGTACTTCTACCCCACTTCAATTCAGATTTAAATTGTTTACTTTTCCTCCTCTTCATGTATGTAATACCTTTAGTTACTTCACAGATGTGGATGAATGATGTGAAATCTAATCAAGTGTTAAATCAGACTTTAGTTCCACCTGGAGTACAAGCTACCCTGCAGTATAAAAAGTCATTCAGACTAGCTGCACCTTTATCAGCTTTGGGAACACTTTAATGATCAATCATTATAAAACACATCATATATATTATTCTGAAATGGACCAATCTGCACAATGACTACTTTTACTGTCGCTACTTTAACTATATTTTGATGATAATACTTTTAGTTATATTTTGAATGCAGGATTTTTACTTACACTTTTACACTCTGGTACTTCTACTTTTACTTAAGTACAAGATCTGAGTACTTCTTCCACCTCTGGTTAGTATAATAAACATTATCTAGAAAACAAACTATGCAGCTACACTTTTTTATTGAAGGACTACAAGAATAGTTTTCTTTGTTTTTTTATTTTATTTTGATGCTAATACTTTTGTATTCCTACACTCTGGCACTTCTACTTTTACTTAAGTCCAATATCTGAGTACTTCTACTTTTACTCTACTACAATATCTGAGTACTTCTACTTTTACTACAAGATCTGAGTACTTATACCACTACTTCGGTTATAAACATCACTGTCATTTGATTTTTTCTCTGATCGGCAATCGACGCCTCATGTCTTAAAACGTCATCACGTCGCAGTTTGACAGCCTGCCCTCTTCCTCTCTACGCAGCAACCGATTGAACCGAACGCTCTCGAAGGTTCTGACTGCGACACCGGGTGGAAATTAACTTTCTATCTGAGTCCATCCGCAGCCGAACCGCGGTGCTACAGCTCCGGAACATCAGCGATTCCCTTCTCCATTATTCCCTTAACATTTACCACCAATTATTAGGTAAAAAATGCCTGAAGCGATGGGATCAATGAGAGCCTCAAACATGGGGAGAAACAAAGGAGGGGCGTATGTGGACCGCGACAAGCCGGCCCAGATCCGCTTCAGTAACATCTCTGCTGCTAAAGGTAAGATTTAATAATATCAAATATATGTGAAACTGCTAATGTCCTGCACTAAACCTCAGTCTAGTGTCTCATCTGTGGGCAGGGAACCGTTATTCAGTCTTATTAGCTTCAACCAGGGCCAACATCTCTCTTTTTATCAGCCATATTATGTGATTCAAATAAATAACTGCTAATTTAAGAAGTGTTTTTTTAATTCAAACTAATCCGCTTTGTTATTCTGCACATGTGACATGCACCGATTCCTTATTTTATACTTAAATTGGGGTGGCTTCCCTCAAAGCTCTCAGTGTAGCTTCTAGTAGCTTCTAGTGGCACGAGATAGCAATTTTATGCAAAAACGCACTACAGTTAAGTTAAAATGCGTATAATGTAGTTAAAATGGCTAATATCCTGCACTAAACCTCACATCCAAGTCTAGTATCTTAGCTGTGGGCAGGGCACCGTTATTCAGTCCTATTAGCCGAAATCTCATTAAGAAAAGTAGTTTTTTAGCAGCCTTACTATGTGGTTTAAAGACATAACTGCTCATTTAACATCTTTTTTTTTTAATTCAAACTAATCCCCTTTGCTATTTTGCACATGTGACATGCACCAGTTCCTTGTTTCTACTCAAATTGTCCCTTAAGTTGGGGTGGCTTCCCTCAAAGCTCAGTGTAGCTACTAGTAGCATGCAGCATGAGACAACATTTTTAATGCAAAAACGCATTTAAGATAAGATAAATTGCTTATAGTGTAGTTGAAACTGCTAATATCCTGCACTAAACCTCACATCCTTAAAGTCTAGTATATTAGCTGTGGGCAGGGCACCGTTATTCAGTCTTATTAGCTTCAACCAGGACCGACATCTCATTAAGATAAGTCGCTTTTTAAGACACATATTATGTGATTTAAAGACATAACACTTTGGCGGCTAATTTAAGAAGTGTTTTTTAATTCAAACAAATCACCTTTGCTATTATGCACATTTGAAATCCATCAGTTCCTTGTTTCTACTTACATTGTCCCTTAAGTTGGGGTGGCTTCCCTCAAAGCTCAGTGTAGCTACTAGTAGCATGAGACAACATTTTTAATGCAAAAACGCACTGAAGGTAAGAAAGTGCTTATACTGTAGTTGAAATGGCTAATATCCTGCTCAAAGCCTCACAGCTAAGCCTAGTATCTTAGCTGTGGGCAGAGGACCGTTATTCAGTCTTATTAGGTTCAACCAGGGCTGAAATCTTATTAAGATAACTCGTTTTTAACAGCCTTTTTATGTGATTTAAGAACATAACATATTAGGCACTCACTTAAGAGGTGTTTTTTAATTCAAACTAATCCCCTTTGTTATTCAGCACATGGGATATGAACCATATTTTTTGTTTTAATGTTAATTTAACTCCATTTTGGGTTGCTTTTCAGTGTAGCTTCCAACAGCTTGAGACAATATTCTTAATTCAAAACGCACCAAGACTCTTGTGTCTCCGCAAGATGCTCATGACTCGACACAATCTCAGTTTTAGCTCAGGGGCCTTAGGTGATGCACACTGAGCCATATATGGACCGGAGCTAAGCTGCAGATGAGACTGTAGTAAAATATGTTTTTATATTATATACTGGGGTGTGTTCAATTAATAAAACAGTAACACAGGAGGATACATAGGCACATACAATCATAAAAGTGCGTCACAGATTTCAAGAGTTATTAGATGTCTAGCTGATGAACCCGATGGCCTTTTTTGGGCTTCGGTCTTGCTCGTGAATTATTGATGTGCTTTGTTCATTATATTATCCGGAAACCTACAGATGCAATGTTGTCTAAGACCCACATTAATTTTAAAAGACATGTCATTTGTCGGCTTTATTTGTTGTAGCAACTCCAATAAACAAAAATGGACATAGTAGATTTTGATTAATCCTCCCTGAACCATTCATGTTGAAGTTATTATTTTCATATATGACACGCATACATATTGAAGCCTAAAGATGCAATATTTACTATGTGTACTAAGACCAAACTTAACAATTCAAATATGTTCTTTCGTGTCAGCTTTATGCGTTCTAGTAGAATAATGTGTTTTTAATTTGAAGTTCATGCTTATGAACCATGCACGTTATCATTTTCTCTATACTGACCCATCCCTTGTTTGTGTGGCAGCTGTTGCAGATGCCGTCAGAACCAGCCTGGGGCCCAAGGGCATGGACAAGATGGTCAGTACACATATTTCTGTCTCAATGCTAACTTCACCCAGCTGTTGTGTCATACTCGTGGTCCTAAAGCAGATGCTCTTTTTCTCAGATCCAGGATGAGAAGGGTGATGTGACCATTACCAACGATGGAGCCACCATCCTGAAGCAGATGCAGGTCCTCCACCCGGCCGCCAAAATGGTACGTATTTTTATAAAGCACCATTTACAGATCCATATACCTTTTCAGTCTCATTAGCTTCAACCAGGGCCGAAAGGTCGCTTTTTAACAGCCTTATTATGTTATTTAAAGACATAACTGCTCATTTAAGGGTTTCTTTGTGATTCAAACTAATCCCCTTTGCTATTCTGCACATGTGACATACACCTGTTCCTTTTTTCTACTTACATTTGTTTCTTAAGTTTGTGTGGCTTCCCTCAAAGCTTTCCGTTTAGCTTCTAGTAGCATGTGAAAACATTTTGTTTATGCAAAATGCACGTTCAAATATGTATAATGTTGTTAAAATGGCTAATATCCTGCATAAAACCTCCCATATGAGGCGTTACCTGATTTGAGATACATGTCGACGGACTGCTCTTTTAAAAGTTGTATTTAATGTGTGTGTTTTGTAGCTGGTGGAACTTTCCAAAGCCCAGGACATCGAGGCTGGAGACGGCACCACCTCTGTGGTTGTGATTGCTGGAGCTCTGCTGGAGGCCTGCTCCAAGCTGCTGCAGAAAGGTAAGAGCTGCAACACATTGAACCAGACACAAAACTAACCCTTATTGTAAATGCTTATCTCTGCAGTTGTGCTTTGCTATGGAGGACTGATGTTTCAGCAGTTTAATTGGCAAATATAAGTGGAATGAATCACAATTTTCGGCAGTATGCACCTGTTTTTCTGCTCAGTTTTCATTCAAGCAAGTTAGTGGGGTAGTGAGAGGGGGAAGCTGTCATGTTGTTTGCATCAAAGACTGTTGATTAGACTGTCTCAATCTTTAGAGCTAAAACCAGATCGTATTTGGCATTTTTGGATAAGAAGTACTTTATTGATGCCAATTTGGGAAATGTTTGTGTTGCAGCAGCATATAAATACATGGTATTGTGCAATATAAATTAAAAGACAAGAAATAAACATGAAAGTAGAAAATATACATGCTGAATTTACAAATTAACAAGATATAAAGCAAGGTATTATACATACATAACATACATGGTTGTTCAATGACTTGATCAATCAAGCTACAAACACATTTGACTTATCATTAGTGTTGATTTGAATAGTTCTCATGTTGACATGTTGTCCCCGGTTCAGGTATCCACCCCACCACCATCTCCGAGTCCTTCCAGAAGGCGGTGGAGAAGGGCGTGGAGGTTCTGACGGGGATGAGCCGCCCGGTGCTGCTGAGCGACCGCGAGACGCTTCTGAACAGCGCCACGACCTCTCTGTGCTCCAAGGTGGTGTCGCAGTACTCCAGCCTGCTGGCGCCCATGAGCGTGGACGCCGTCATGAGGGTCATCGACCCGGCAACCGCCACCGGGGTCGACCTGCACGACATCAAAATCATCAAGAAGCTCGGGTGAGAGAGAGGGAGATATAATAATAATAATAATAATAATAATAATAATAACAATAAAGCTTTATTTATATAGTACTTTTCATACACCTCAAAGTGATTTACAGAATGACACATCACAAGTTAAAAACAAACGTACTTCTTATCTTCTTCCCTCTTACAAAGGCGCTCCTGCAGTCTCTTCCTGCTGGAGCGTAAGAAACAGAGGAACAGTAATGTGGAAAGCTCTCCTTTTATTCAGTCCTAGTTGTCTCATCAACTGGGACGGGGAGCGTTCCTACATATTTATCATATCC